TCGTCCTAGTGCGGAGTGGATTCAGACAGCGCATAAGGTGAAGGCTCGTCTTGAGGAAGAGGCGAAGGAGGCGTTGGAAAAGGCAGCGGACCCGTTGGCCGATCTACCAGAAGGTGACGATTAAGTCGATGGAGTTTCACAACCCGTTTTATGTGAAGTGGCGGCGTAAAACACGGTGAAAAACGCGATATTCGCGGTGATATGCAGTAGTCGTGAAATATTTTTTTATATCACGGGTAAAATTGCGCGATTTGCACGTCCCCTTTAATTTAAATGGGGAGTGAAAATCGCGGAAGTGTGAATACTAGATTCAATGAGAAGACAGAGTTGGTGTGATACAGGGACGAACTGTATAGTAGCGATGTGCCGGTGACAGTTTTCACTGGTCGTATCACCATCCAGGGTTCCATGCGGATTCTGATATTCATATTTGAAGCCACTTCCATTCCCATTTATATTCGTACAATTCGTCCGTTGTTGTTATTGTTGTTATTGTTGTTATTGTTGTTGTTATTATTGTTGTTGTTATTATTGTTGTTATTGTTGTTATTGTTGTTATTGTTGTTATTGTTGTTATTGTTGTTATTGCTGTTATTGTTATTATTGTTGTTGTTATTATTGTTGTTATTGTTGTTATTGTTGTTATTGTTGTTATTGTTGTTATTGTTGTTATTGCTGTTATTGTTATTATTATTATTATTGTTGTTATTGTTGTTGTTGTTGTTGTTATTGTTGTTATTGTTGTTATTGCTGTTATTGTTGTTATCGTTGTTATTGTTGTTATTGCGGTTGTTATTATAGGAAGTTTGTCTACATTGCTGTTCACTTGAATCAGGTTATTACGATCTAGAAGCCGTCGACGATAGTGATGATGATGATGATGATGTGTTGATGTCCGACGTAAGGAGTCGGACAGAGCAGTGGCTCCGATGGTGAAGAGGTCTGAGGATATTAATGCACTGGATAGCAACACTTACAGAGACAACTATCGATTCCGCCAGATGAAAAACAAAGTAGAGGATCGGCCGTGGTCATGAACTGAGGTGAAAATGATTTTAGGTGACGGTGGCGATGGAGATTGATGACGACGTGCGTGAGGATGATGTTCGGGTCACCATCCGACCGAATCATCTCACGGTTCGTATCAAGGGCTCAGCTGAGGGTCTCGATGGTAAGGATTGGAATTTCGTGGCGCGTGACGAATGTGACGATTCATCGTGTTAGGTGAGTTGAGCGGTAAGGTTGTGCCTGGAAAGTCGTCTTGGGAGGTGGACGATGGTGAAGTGAAGATTACTTTACAGAAGGCCGCTATGAGTGATCCCGAAGATGAGGATAGGCAATGGTTCGACTGGTGGGGTGACCTTTGGGCAACGAAGAAGATGTAAGCTGAACTGTTTGTATATTATACACTCATATAG